TGGCTCCGATTAACAGAAACTTGAATTGAAAATTCCAAATTTATTACAGTTACAGTCTAAAAATTCTTCCACTATGCTACAATAAATAGTCAGATAGGAGTAAATACATTGTTGAATGTGAGTTAAAGTCGTTTTAGTCGTAAACCGTACGAGTAAAATTGATCGTAAAGTCGAGGTCTTAACTGCAGCCCGGTGTTCTTGATATGTTCTATGTACGAACAAGCTAAGATTATTTATTACGAAATGTATTAAATACTTTATATATAAGATTTATTTGACGAATTGAATGTAATATGTTTTTGATTTTACTAAATATTGTAATTAGTAATTTAATTATATTTAATGTAAATATGTAGACAGAATTATTTAGCAAAATAGTAGACTCGTGTAATTACACTGGATAAAACGTTTTAGTTTTTTTAATAACAAAATGAAGGCAATATTGTTGTAATGTTGTTTGCAACGGAACGTTGTTTTAATGGTGTTATACGCTGAAATCTTTTTTGGAATTTAATCGAGTGTGCTTAATGACTTTAATTGTATTGGGTGAGAGTGTGCGATGGAGAGAGATTGGTGGCAATTGACGCCTCGCCGGGAGCTCTACTCCATTCCCGAATGTTTAGCTGCTGGAGATTCACGGGTTTGTTTCGTATTACATTATTGTTTATTCACACTAGTTTTTTCTTATAATCATCAAAATTCAAAAATATCAAAATTCAAAAATCATTTATTCATGTAGGACATTTTAGCCGCTTATGAACGTCAAATCTTTACATCATCATCTTTACATTTTTTTAATCTTTAAAGTTTCTTTCGTGATTTTCGCATCCTTCAAATCATTGTTACAGTTTGTCTTTTGTGTCGAGAGTTTTCATAACCGATATAATACAATTAATAAGTGTAACTCTTTCTTTATTTTCGTTTATGCAACTTAAAATGGCAAATAAGTTGATAACCCGCCTGATGGAAAGTTGTAACCGTTGCCTATAGGCATGTACAGTACAATGCATATAACAGAGGTTCTGTTCTGTTTCGGCCATGACAGCCTCTGTACCCTGTAAATTCATTGCCATATCACACCCTTCAAACCGAAACACAGCCATGTAAACATAACTGCTTCACGGTAGAAAAAAGAATATTAGAGGTACCCAAGCGAATGACTTGTACAAAATCTCCCACTGGTATATGTAACTCGCCGATAAAATTATTCTAATCCGGTAATATTACGCCTTCAGTAAGACCATCTTAACGGAATAGTACAATTTCATCATTCAGATGTCTATAACCGACAAATTATTTACGTAATACGAATTTTTCAACTCCGCATATCGATATAACAGCGCACGTATCGTTACTTCACGATGTTACTAAAATTTTATACAAATTGCTTTATATTGAAGCGGCCTTCAGTTAGTATGAATACAAAAGATTTTGCGATGCGCCGTTGCAAAGGGGGAATCTGAGGAGGGCTTGAGAGATTTGAAATGTAAGGGTAGCGATATAAAAGGGTTAAATTCCGTTTCTGTGTCAAAGGAGAAATACATTTAAAAGAAATATGAAGATTTGTTACTTTTTTAGGAAATTAGCAATGTAATGTGAACATTAATGTGACAACTTCTTTAGGTTGGCATGTGCATATGTATACAATAATTTATTATTGTATACATAATAATTTTATTGTTTTTATTTTTATTTCAGCCATAGTCATAAATATTATAACATTAAAAATAAATATAAAATTTTAAATTGGTATGATGTAAGGTTAGTTACCTATTTCAGCAGTGGAAAATGAATGGCTGAAACCACGATGATACAGACTTTTTTTATCGTATTTATGTTTATATATAAGAAATAAAACAACATTACAACAGCATAATATAGATTTTTTGTCATTGTGGAATTTTATGATCTGCTGAACTATAGATACCTATTTGATAACTATACCTCCAATATAGGTTGAAATACCGTACTTCTAGTAGAACGTCGATTCAAATTTGATTATAGAAAAAATAATAGGTACTACGCACCTTTTGCTATGGTTCTATTCGGCCTTTAGAATTATGCCCTAGTTTTCCTTGTATTTATCATAAGTTTTTGAGTATTTCTTTTATTTCAAAATTTTAAATGTTCCACATTGACATAAGTCATTGTACATTGAAATAAGTCGTATAATGTCTCGTTATCTTTCCATTTCTCTAGTCAATATCTTTGTAGCCATAATTATTTCTAGTTATGTAAAACCGAACTCTTAAATAATTGTGCGAAAATACATTTTCTAGTTTGTTAAGGAAATATGGTCTTTCGATCTCTGTCATTAGAACTATATTTGTAATAACGATAATATTTCGTACGCGGCTCTGAAGGCCACGTTCTCCCAGCATGATGACCTTGTCGTCACGTACCAGCTGATTATCTAGTGCCGCACTTGCAAATCATTTCCGCGGCTGACACCTTGCTGTGATGATACCTCATCTTATTTTTCAACGAATTTTTTATTTGTCTTGTCACGACTGTACTTTTAAGAAACCTTGAACACGATTTCTGCATGTCAATAATAATATGCTTTTATGTATATATACATACATACATATATACACATACACATACATTGCTTGATTTGCTGAATACAGTTGAATTCGTTCAATTTATTGAATGATTATTTGGAAGACATACATGGTTTTAGTTGATTATGCATAACATTTTAAATTTAAGTAGGTATTCAACACAGCATATATGTATAACATAAATACTAAGTAACTTATAAATAAATATTATACTTATTTTACGTCACTGTCGCGTTTGTTGTAATAAAAGTTTAAAAGAGTTATTTAGATTTCAGTTTAAATGTTATTTTATACAACTTTATTCATATATAAACATAATAGGTATACTTAGTTTGAATAGTGAAGCTAAAACTATTCCGTTTCTGTCAAATACGATTTATTGAAATGTTGAAATAGAAGATTGTGTTTGCTGGGAGAATATTCTAATATTCTAAAAAAGCATAAAGGAGATGGTAAAAAGACAGCGTTTATTGTAGAAGTGAAGAGAATAACATTAGCAAATGGAACAAAAGAGGGATTGTGTAAAATTTGAATATTTCATTTTTTTATTTATTTATTTTTTCTAAAAAAGTTGATTCGCGAACGATTGCAAACATTTTATATATATGTAGATGTGATTTTTTTTAAGCCCATTGATAGATTGGTATAACTTTAATATAGTATACGAAAAATTCCTTGAAGTTATAAAAATAAAAGGAGGTGAGAAATAGTAATCTTCAAATAAATAGAACCCGGCGGGTCAATAGCATAAAAGTATCGGATTATATTTGCTTTTTTATAATTGTACTGTTATTCACTATACAGGTGCACTGTGTACTTCCACGTTATTATTGCTTCGAGAATATTTGTAATTTATTGAGGAAGTCAGTATAGTTTCCGCCATTTCGTTAGTGTTGCATGCTCAATTTACAAATAAAACAACAAACAAAAAATATGTTTTTATCCTGTCTTTAATTTTTTTTAAACACGTAGGTATAATTTAAATTTATATATTTAACTTTTATGTACAAAGCGAAGGCATACAAGGCGGACATAACACATAAAGACATTATCTACCAGTCAACCATGGGGTAAACAGAAATGTTTGTTGGCGGTACTTTAAAATAAGAAGGATACTGTAAAAAACATATACACTAATATAAAATATCGAATATATATATATATATATATATATATTTCTATTAATAATTACATAATACTGCTACTTATTATGCATGATCACGATAACTGCGTGCGCGCCGATTTTTTGACCCCTTTGTTGGAGTCATGGTCACGATTAACGATGTTACAATGACAGCGAAGTGTGTGAAGACAATCACGAAAATGTATACGTTTTCAATACATATTGGCGATGTCATGTTTGTTAGTTAAATCGTGTTTTTAATTGTGAAAACCTGTAACTGGTTTTTTGTATTTACTATCTTTTTTTTTATTATGAAATTTTCTAGCTATTGGGTTTTCTTTAATAAAAAATAAAATTAAATATTCACCTTTACTTATACTCTTACGTATACTCAGGAATGGCAACGCATGGGGAATTGGTGAAACAATATACTCTGTTATGTCTTTGATACTGCTCATGTTTGTAGGCGACGGTTACCACTTTCTATCAGATGGGCCGTCAGCTTGTTTGCCATTCTATTTTACATAAAAAAAGGAAATAAAAAATTGTATTTAACGTAATAAATATAGGTAATCTATAGGTATAATATTGAAGTCTTGTGTACATTTGTCGATACTAATAACACAATCACATAACGCAGTCTAGAAAATCCAGACTGATACCCTAATAGTAATAAGTATAATAGTATAAGTGTAAAGATGTTCACATGTTCAGAATTTTGTATGTTTGTTATTTAAATTAAATAAGATTTGGTAAACGGATAGGTTATATTCTAACTTAAAACAAAGGACATTTTATTTACTTATTCACGCAGTCAAAATAACGGGAAATAGTTATGATACCTATTTGTATTTTTTTTTAAATTGTGTGTTTGGATATTTCTTAGACTAATATTAAAAGTAATTTAATATTACTTGTTTAGTACTATCACGCTTGGGTGAACTGATCGCAATGAGCTTTAGTCGGTACACAGATAGACCGATATGAACACATTGGATACCTTTTATCCCACGTGATTCACGTGGGCGTAGCCATTGGATACGGCTAGTCAATAATAAAATAAACATCAGACGATATGACTTTACCCATGTTTTTTCTTCTTCGATGTTAATCTATAATTAATTCAAAGCACGAGAATTATTTTTAATATTACGATGCTGGCTAGTAAGTTCATGTCCCGTCTGATAGTAAATGGATACCATAGCTAATAGATTAGAGAGGGATGTTACATATGCATCGTTAACCGAAGAAATCTCATATTAGCTTCGTATCCACACTCTGGTATTGATAATTCTCTTCTCTTTTTTCACCAGGGCATGGCTTTCACAATTGAAGAGCGTCAGGTGCTGGGTATACATGGACTCCTCCCCGCCAGAGTCAAGAGTCAGGAGGAGCAGGTGCAACTGTGTAAACTCTCCATTGATAGATACGAAGACCCACTGAACAAATACATTTATCTTATGGGACTCTTGGTAAGTTATTTTCTGAGAATATCTTTAATAATTTGTGTCTTTGTTCACATACGTGTGTGGCCAATCGGCATATTTTGCATACATGTAGCATCTGAGATGATTTATTTATGATATTTTATCTTGTCATATAAACGAAGTCGCAGGCATAGCATATCCCAGTTAAAAGTGCTCGTGATTAATTAAAATAAAATAACTTTTATGTCAGTTTTATTTATTTAAATAAACTTATTAACCAAATGAAAATTACAAAAGGCAAATTAAAAAATACAGAAAAGTACAAAAGGCTTTTCTCTCTTTTTTATAGTAAATTTGCTATATAATAACATTTTATAAATAAATTATAAATATCCTATCGACATTTGTAAGATGTTTGTAAAATATTGTATTTTCTCGTATAAATAATAAAAAATTCTTTAAAAAGTCGTGGTATGTAAAAGATAGGTAACCTTATTTGGTAGGCATACGAGTACATAAATTAAGTGATTCGTTTATGTATGATAATGCATCAAGTGTTTGATTTGCCTGATAAGAGACGATCTGAGCAAAGTCAGGTATTTGAATGCGATAACAATTTATTAATCTCAAAACGCTCAAGTACACAATGTTAATTCGGTAGGTAATACCTACCTAACTGGGTACTATAATATATAAATATTTTAAAATTTAAAATAGATGGTATTTGTATATTTAATTGTTTTATATTTTCGTAAACGATAGTAATAAGTAAGTTCATAAAATTCCCATTATACATGTATACAAAAATATTACATTTTCCATTACAAATGGTAATTTTTAATTAAATTCAGTCAAATCAGACACCAAGATTCTCTTTCGAATTAAAAGGAATTATATTTTTAGTTAGTAGTAGATCTGAGGATTTGAACCCTACACATATTTGTTTTCTTGAATATGCTCAGCGTGTATGGCTGTTTATGTTGGTCAGGGCACTTTATTTTTATAATAGCACATCATGTGACCACATCATCCTGAGACAATACAGGGACAATTTGGTACGTGAATACGATCAACCGAAAAGAGAACGTCTACTCTCAACAGTTTTTTTTAATGGATGATAATGGAATGATAACTCCGCCTGTGTTATGGGTATACACTGGCAGGGCAGTAACGGATGATAGGTGAGGATTAAAGCAAGTCAGTGGGCTCATCATAATCGTAAAAGAGTTCATCAAGAATTAACCACGATGGTTTGCAAGAGGAACCGCATGGAGGATGACTTGATATAGTATATTGCTAGCAATGAGTCTGCTAGTCTAAGAATCCCTATTATCTACCGCTATTATTAATAATTCCTTTCCCCACTCTCAATGGTTGGTCGCAATATGCCAGTTCACTAAGTGCTTTTTCAAGTTACGTTTGAAGGATCCGAGGTTATAGGATAAAGCGGCACAGTACGGGAAAGGCTATTCCACTACGTTGCGGTACGGTTCACATAAGAGATCGTTAACTTATTTGTACCCGAGTGCGGGCGGACTACCATCTATTTTTAAATAATATAAAGTAAAAAAACTATTTCAATATGCCACTCAGTTCTCTTGTAGTCTTATTACGAGCTCTACTTAGTTTGATACTACGATAGGTGTTTAGTTACTGAGATAGTGTTTTCAAATTAGATTTTTAGCATTATATTTGTCTTTACATTAGATATATTAGCTGTGTAGGTACCGGCATAGTATTGGCCACCTCTTCCTTTCCCATGGGTGTTGTAAGAGGCAGCAGCGTCCCTCTTAAAACATCGCCAAAGTCTAACTGCGGTTGCCAAGCGTGGCAACTACTGGCAAAACACCCCTTATGGGAGAGGCTATCTTCAGCAGCGGACAGTGAACGACTGATATTACAAATGTTGTCATGATGTAAAAACAAATGTTTTTACATCGTGACAACTGTGTCTATTACATTGTTTCGTTTGAGTAATGTGTAATTATAATACCTACAAAACCATAAAATACGTCGGCAGTGTCGGCCTAACGTAGTCTCATTCGTCTGCCGGTGAGAGGGTGCCCTCAAGCATGAATCCCGTTGTTTTGTTAGCAAGGCCGAATTTACTGCAACACCCCAGATCTACGGAGAGTGGGCAGTATCCTTCATTGTATAGAGTAACAGACCTGTGCAAATAAGACACGATCCTCGACGTATATTTTTGGCCGTCATAATAGAACTCATTGAATTGCATACTACAACGCCCACGTGTACGCCTGACACAAAGGGAATTGTTTTCTGCGGATAAAATGTCCCTCGTATACAGCTATGTCCTTATATATACAGGATATTTATATCTTAACAAAATGTCAGCCTGGACACGTCCTGTTAGTATGAAAGACTCAAAATGTTGTTGTTATTGGACACATATTTTTTTTAGAACAAATGTTTAGGAATACTGCCTTGAAAGGGGAGGAAAGGGATTGTTAGTAACGAAGACTAGCGGTTATATTGCTAGCAAAGTATCAGGTTGACTTCCACGAGGTCCTCCCTGAAATCCATAGTGGTTAATTCCAGGTGAATTCGTCACGATGGGCTTAACAGATCTGTCTTCGTTTTCTCCAATCATCGTTCACTGGTACCCCGCCCGTGTACACTCACTAAAGCGTGCTGGCGGAATTACCATTTCATTTTTATTGTTAAAAAAAAAACTGTCTTAAAGGATGCTGATAATTTCGGCTTTACTCTGTATAGGGATCTCATTTTATATTAGCACATGATATCATTTGCAAAGTCATAGTTACATCTATTTAGTCTAATAAATAGATTTATTGTTATTTTCATTCATAATTAAGTACACCGGTCAAAGTATTGCTCGAAAAACAGCCTGTGTGTAAAGTGTGGAATCACTCAATCAAGTAGGTACTTATCGGCTATTTCAATTTGATCCTTCGCTTTTTCTCTTGGCTTTAGGTTAAGCTTTTAGGAAAATCACTCAATCCCTTTTAAAGTATCCTTTTTAATTAATTAATAAAGAAAAAAGGCAAATATTTTTTATGTTTTAAACCAACGGCCACGGTAATGCAATCACATGCAACGAATTATTGCGAATGGTTAGGCTCTTTAGAAAAATAAATAAATATAGGATACCTTTATAATTTTTACGCGTGAATAATAAAGTATAAGGGTGCAAAGTGAAAATTTACTTATCTTTTTATATATAGGTACAACTATTTACTTTCTGCTTTATTGTTTCCATTTCCATATAAATGATTACTCTATAACCTTATATATATAAACATCTTGTTACGGTTTATATAACTTGATTGGGATTAAGTATAATTAATAAACACTAACGAGTATTGCTTACACATAAAGGGCACATGTTAATTATTTATTAAGTGACGCTGTAAATAATGCACATGGGTGCATGGGTATGATATCAAGTGGGCGTTGATTAGTATAGCTATATGATGCCGGAAATTTGAATTTCATGCCTATGTCATGTGTTATGGTGGTGTTTTTCTGCTTAATTAAATACTTGTTTGTAATCTACCTTTGCTAGTATTTGTTCAAAGAGAAAGATATAATTTTTGTTTTATATCCCAACTTGTTTATCACAAACAAATTATTTTTTTGTATTCTTATTTATACAGCTTGTAATGGCATACAAGTTGGAAGTCCACCTGATGAAAATTGGTAATCATCACCTATACCCATAGCAATGAATAGTATCATGTACATCACAAAATATACTGTGACGTTATCCTGTGCCACTCTTTAAACCGAAACGTAGACATGCAAGCATAGTTATTCTGGCAGATATACGAGTCGGACAGAGATATCTATACTTGTATATCTCCCTCTGAACAATATGCACGATGTGAAAAATAAAATGTTAATATTAATAAATACTTGAAACTTTTTCGTGCAGGATCGCAACGAGCACCTCTTCTATCGTTTCGTTGGTGAAAACGTATCGGAAATGATGCCGATCGTGTACACACCGACCGTGGGCCTCGCCTGCCAGAAGTTCGGTCTGGTGTACCGCCGACCACGTGGTCTCTTCATCACCATACATGATAAGGGACACGTGTACGATATATTGAAAAACTGGTAAGTGGATTAGCTAAATACTTACTGGTCATTACTAATATAAATCTTAAAATGAATTTGATCGTTTGGCTTTACGTCTACGACTGCTTTTTATCCCGGTTAACGAACATATCCCAGTCAAGCGGACGAAGTCGCGAGTAAAAGCTAGTATATTATTAATTTAATTATAAATATAAACCAAAATAAATAATTCTTATTACAGATAGGTATTTATTGATTAGTACTGTATGTACAATCATTAAAGTGTTATACTTATTTTAAATCTAGGTATTCTTATGTAAATTGCAAGTCACGCAAATGAACGCTTATCACTGGGTTTAATAGGTTAGATTTGCTTTAAATCAATTAATGGTCTTGTTTTATTATAATTCCTAACAATATTATAGGTTAATAGTTTGATCTGGCGATATATGATTTATGTACTTATCGCTTCAATTTCAGTGAAGTTTATGACGTGTAATAATTGTGACGTACTCATCTACCTCACTTATACTTAATTTTTATTTATATCAGGCAAAATAAATTAAATTCACACATAGTATATACAATGCATGCCGCGCAGTGTTCGGTGACCGTCCCCGGAAACGTCGGAAAATGACACCCTTTGACCAAAATTCCTTTGTCATTATGGTCGGAAATGATCCACGGCGTTAGAAGGATTAATTTAATGCTGTCATTTGAGTCTAACGGTATTTTCCATATCTGTTATCCTATTCGTGTTTATTATGACGTGATTATCGTTTTTCTTGGCTTGTTTAGCATTCTGAGTCACATAAAAAAAGAAAAACCAATAAATAGTAGTTAAATATTTTTTGTACATTGACTAGGCCCGAGACGGATGTCCGAGCGATTGTGGTAACTGACGGCGAGCGCATCCTGGGTCTCGGGGACCTGGGTGCCTGCGGTATGGGCATCCCGGTCGGGAAACTGGCGCTCTACACGGCACTGGCCGGCATCAAACCACACCAGTGTCTGCCCATCACTCTTGGTATGTACCTACACTGAAATAATTGCATGAATATTTTTCTTTATAAGATACAAAAAAATACTTGTTTACAATTACAATTCTTTATTAAAGCTTTTGTATAAAACAAACATCTCTTATGGAAATTCTGAGATAATGTGTCTGTTTTCATTGCATAACCAATAAAATAAGTTCGATGCATTTGTCGAATGTAACCGTTGTTGTGAACGTAACATTTGTAATAACCACATTTTGCCGAGCATGTGAATTTCGAACATAGCAAGGAGTCAGCGTATTTCCATTATTCAAATTTAATTTCTTATCAGTATATTTCATCACCTGACAGATAGTCGGATAGAAGAATGGGTAACACGTTTTTATATCGGCCAGAATCAAATTCACGATCCTTTGCTGTCTACAAGTCTGAGTTGTAGTATATCACTAGGGCAAGACGCTCTCAGAGAAAAAAAATAACTTATATAAAGAGATATAAGTATGCAAAGAAATATGTTAAAATGTCAAAAAGGAAAGTAGTTATCAAAATAACTTAGTGCATAAAATCCAATGTCAATGGACACTAATTTATAAAGAACTTAACTACCACTTTATTCATCTGTCCCGTTAATATTCTAAAATTTCTCAACATGCAAGACGTGGAAAAGATGTAAAAATTCCGGATCCAACACATGAAATTTTGTCGTAATATGAAAAACAGATACTTGCCCACGCGTTGTTTTTATGAGAGATATAATTTTATTTCCTTGCTTGGTATATGTTATTCCGTTCAGTAAATAAAACTAGCAGAGAAATATTACCAAGGGTTGAAAGGTAATGAAAGTTCAGGTTCATAAATACGAGCAGGTAACTACTACCTATCACAATGAACCCCAGCAGAAGATATTAGATATTAGAAGGTTAGTTAATAATTTTATTTTTTGTATTTGTTTGTTTAAAAGTTTCGTTGTCGTTGTTAACTTTCTTAATTATACAATATTATCATACCTACTTTTACAACAATTAGTCCATTACCCTAAGGTTGTTTTGAAAAGATTTCTTTCAGCAATAAGACCGCCTAACTGTACTTATACAACTGTATTTATTAATTGTTTTTCTTATTTCCTATATTATATAATGCAAATAAAATTTACTCATTTATTCATTCATTTAGAAATAGTCCAGGGACATGTAGATTAGTGCCATGCTACAAAACAAATGATTTTAACTTCTACATGTTTAATACAATTTTAGTTAACAAATAAACATGCTGACGTCTATCACTTGCTATTTATTACTATGCTAGCTGTCTCATGTTACATTAATCTCAGGTATCCTTAAATGTATATTTACATTTTGGATTCTCAATTTGACTGTCTTCAACAATTCTTAACTGCTTTTAATGATATTTTTTTAGATTGACCCCTACAAATTTTGCCAACACTTCAGTCGGTTCACTGTGAAACAAAATCTAATATTAGTTTCTGCTCCCACAGATGTAGGCACCAACACGCAGTCTATGCTGGACGATCCATTGTACATCGGACTACGTCAGAAGCGAGTCCGTGGCGCGGAATACGACGACTTCGTTGAAGAGTTTATGCAGGCCGTCGTACGTCGCTTTGGACAGAACTGTCTTATCCAGTTCGAGGACTTTGGCAATGCTAATGCGTTCAGGCTGCTGGAGAAATACCGTGGAAAGTATGTATGCTTTAATATTTTATCTCATTAATTAGTTATTAAAACGTTAGTCCTGAAGTGACATACCAACGATTTGTAAACATTATTTATTAAAAAGGAATTTTTGAAATATATGTTTTTATGTCTATCTTATTTTAGTGCAATTAAATTCAAGTTGCTATTTTTTCTTGGTACTATACAATGCTACTGTCTAATTAGAGCTAGTGGTCAAACATATAAGTTTATACCATATATATATATGGATCATAGAAGGCATGCTTGTCGACTGTCACCATAGCAACAGAGAGCTACACCTTCGCTCCCCACGATATACGATATAATCGGATATAGTCAACGCTTGAAAGCATTGAAAGGATATTATTACACTAAAATATATATAATATATTAAAGAACAATAATCTCACCATATCCATTATAATATAAAACATATATAAATATAACGATAAGACACCTTAAAATCGTGCCGTTTTTGTTACAGCCTTACGAATTTCTTTTGGATTTTTTCTACCATAAATATATATTTAGATTCATGTGGATTCTAAATAATTGCATTAATTTCAAATTTATGAAGAACAAATTATTGTATAGTATTTTATTAACTTGTATGCAATCCAACTGTTACGCTTGTAGCAATACAAATTTGAACAATGGAATGGTTACCCCACCTACACTATGCAATGGTATACGTTGACGAGACATCAGAGAGAGATGATAGACTAGAATAAAAGCAAGTCAGTTATGGTATCTAGGCAGACCCGCGTGGAGGTCGACCTGAATGGATATATTGCTAACAGTGAGGTTGTTAGACCTTCATTACTAACTATCCCTTCCCCCATTATACCTACGTACATAGACCGTGATTCGTGAGTTTAGCTCTGGCCGAGATCAAAACTGTTACAATTTTAAAAGTAACAGCTTAGGCCTCTATCCCATTTCATACGAGTTCACAGTTATTAATGTATTTTCAAGGTACTGCACATTCAACGACGACATCCAAGGAACAGCTTCAGTGGCGGTGGCAGGTCTGCTGGCCAGTCTCAGGGTCACTGGCAAGAAACTATCGGAAAACACCATTGTATTTCAGGGCGCTGGCGAGGTGAATATAATATCACTCTTGTTATTTCTAATATCTGATGTTTTTTATTTTAGTAGAGTAAGTACAATAGTCTAGGATAATAGTGTATTATTACTATACTAATATTAGATGCCATTCGCAAATCATATAGAAGATCGTCATTTGCTTTTGTAATTCTGCTTTGCTACCAAATGTACTACATGACCAATGTAAGAACTAAGATATAAGAACTAAATAACTGATTTGTCTAATTCAAATATTGCGGGAAATTGATGGCTTTAGGTACCTCGGTGAGTCCGGAAGTTCGTCTTTATTATTTATTTCCTATATGAACAAACATGAACCCGCTTTAGTTAAATAAGTAATAAGATAAAAGGTTTCTATAATTATCTTAACTAAGCAACTGAGATCCTTTAGGAGAAGCTTTTATCTCATAACTTATTTAAGAACAACAATGTTCCAACGTTTTAGTTTTTTTCTTAAATAAATAATGAAATAAAAGGTTCTTATAATCCTATAATCATCTTACTGAATAAACGTGAAACCTGCATTTTAATTGATATTAATATTTCGAACAAACGTCAAAAAGAGGAGGGTTTAATTGCGGTTTTGTATGTCGCCCGATATCCTCAATTCTTCACTGATTTTGATGATTCTTATTGTAATCAATAGTGGTTTACTCTTGTTTTACTTTCGTGCTAACATTCAACAAACTCTTAATATAGAAATTAATAAGGAATTGATATGCAGGCCTCGTTGGGTATCGCGCAATTATGCGTAATGGCAATGAAAGAAGAGGGAACGTCGGAGGCAGATGCCAAAGGCCGCATATGGATGGTGGACTCGAAAGGTCTTATCGTGAAGAACAGGCCTGAAGGTGGTCTCAATGAACACAAGGAGAAATTCGCCAAAGACCGTCCTCCGATCCGCACACTCGAGGAAGTGGTTGATACGGCTAAGCCCTCGGTACTTATTGGTAAGTTGATCTTTGTAATTTTATAATTTGAAAGCAGCTTGATTCAGATTCGAACTATTTAAATTGGTCTGTATGATACAGAAAAAGAGAAATGAGTACTGAACCCTTCTATTACCTTTACACACATTTCCTGCTTCGTCTACTTACTTAACTAGTCAGGCACGATTCGGAGGACTTTATTTTTTTTTTTATAAATTGCTAACTACACTTACAGTTTCCCAAAACTTAGTCCGAGAGAGACTAGTAGTTTACTAATGGGATTGAGCGATATAACCTATCAAATTGACGTCCACGCGCGATCCCCTGGAGGCCATCGCATTTAATTCTTGGTGAATTCATTACAATGGAAAACGTGATACGAATTCATCGTCGCTTATCTTCGTTCACTAGTAATCCGTTGACGCATTCAAAATGCTGCGGGGTCACCATCGTATTTTTATTATTAAAAGAAAAATAAATGACTACTACAAAGTAGTCATTTATTTTTACATTTATTTTTAGTACAAACTAACAATTCTGTGTGGTCAGGAAAAACGATATGAGTTTATTATGTAACTTACGAATCTATATTTAATAAAAGCGTTGACCGTTACAGGTGCGGCTGCGATCGGCGGAGCGTTCACACCGAGCATCCTGCGCAAAATGGGCGACTACAACGAGCGTCCCGTCATATTCGCGCTCTCGAACCCCACTAGCAAGGCGGAGTGTACCGCCGAGGCCGCGTACAGCAACACAGACGTATGTTCTACTACACATATTATACATACTTGTATATCCAGCACCTATAGACTTAACTGTGAAATCTTTCGCAGTTTGTGTAGGTTCCTAGAAGCGATTTAATAATTCGTCCGAAGATGCCTCGTTTAGAGATGAAACACGTGTCGTAAAACGTACTTGAACAAAATGGCAGTCGGAGATTGATGGCTAATATAGGTTATGTGAAATTTATGGTAGAAATTGTGGTAGTTAGTCTTCGAATGTTAGTAACACACATTAATGTGTAGTAGTAACACACATAATAAATATCTTTGCTTATGAATATTGTGTACTTTGCGATATGTACCTTGATAAAAAAGGAATATGACGAAAAGATTTAGGAGATTTAATAAATTATTAAGACTTGATTTAAAGATTATGCACGTAATTGTTAAATCATAATAGAGGAATCTTTTATCTTTGTTTCTCGTCTTCCTGAGGTTAGAAAAATTGAATTACCTAGATATAACAAATAAATTTTATACGTATATTTGATTTTACAGGATCATTCCTAACAGTTAATAAATTGTATAATCAAGATATGACAAATAAGTTTTATACATTGACTTTCAGGACCGCGCCATCTTCGCGTCCGGTTCTCCTTTCCCAGACTACCGCACAAAAGACGGTCGTATCCTGCGGCCGGGGCAGGGCAACAACGCTTACATCTTCCCAGGGCTGGCCCTAGGGATCATTTGCGCCGGCATTGTCGACATCTCTGATGACTTTATGTTGTTAGCTGCACAGGTTAGTTATTTTATTACCTTAACTTTAACAATCTACATCTGACATCCCACAGCTGGGTAGATGTATAAAAGGAGGATATGCTTTATCAATAATATGCTGAGCACGTGAATTGATGTATTGGTGTAATACCCCTGGTATTGCATCAATATGGTAACCGTTTACTATCAGGTGGGCCGTATGCTTGTTTGCCACTTCAGTGGTATAAAAAAAAACTGGGATTGCAAGATTATGTTCTTACTCTGTCAAAATACCTTTTGATAACGATTCTCTCTTCTGTACAATGAAGATTTTACACAAACTGAAATGTAAACTATAATTATGGTAATATGGCTAGACTACATATGTAATGACGTACACTATTTGCCTCATAGATTAAGAATAATATCTGCGGTCCCAATTCTATTATCTGCCTGCACTGTTTTACAATTTTTTATTTAAATAATAATTGTATTATTCACCAGAGGAAGACTGCACAAAAGTCCATCAGATGGGCTGTAAGCTTGGTCGCTATTCAAGGTTGCATGAAAAATAAAATAAAAATACTAAAGAATTTTAAGCGGTTCAACCGCAATCAACGAAAAGCATTTTACTGAATATTTATTAATATAGGTTATTGCTAAGATTATATGCTTTGTTGTCCTCTTTTGGCAGGCATTGTCCGACATAGTGTCTCAGGAGAACTTGGATCACGGCGGCCTTTACCCGCCTCTAGAGACCATTCAGGAGTGCTCAGTCAAGATCGCCAAGAAGATTGTTGAGCACGCATATCAAACTGGTAATTATTTACATATTTTTATATAGTTAGCATCTGTATATTTATTATTATACAATCATTATTATATGAACTTTGAAGGGTCAAGTTATTGCAGTATTCATACTTCATTAGGCTGTAGTACAGTCAATAATTAATTACTAATTCTGATCATGTTACTTGAACAATTTTTGTACATGAGAGGTATTTTATATAAGAAAAAAATAATATGAGGTAATAAAACCAATAAATGTTACAATTGTTTATTCTGGTGTCATGTAAAAAAACTACAACAAATTGGATGCGGTTTTATAAGTTATATTCCTGAAGGTCTAACTTAAAACCTGGTATATATCTATTATGCTGTCTGGTATATTCTGCTATTTTCTACTTCTCAAATTGACTTGTATGAAATAGCGGGCAAGGGGTTGATAAAAGTAAATTAAAACAACTCATTTTACTGAATTACAAGTCGTTGAACATAGAAATACTATAGATCAGTTTGCCCCATTTATTGGCATGGTAAAGCTGGATTCATCATCATCTCAGCCATTATCTATCTATTGCTAAGCATAGACCTTTTCCATAGACTGCCATAAGGAACGTACAAAGATGATTAAAACTAAATAATTGAATGTTGCAGGCAAAGCGTCCGTGCAGCCCCAGCCTCTAGATACGGAGAAGTTTATCCGCGCACAGATGTACGACGTGCGGTATTCGCCCGCCGTACCGCCGGTCTATTCGTGGCCTGACGGTTCGCCGCAAGTCGACCGGGTCTAGCGCCATCCAACCGACCCTGCTCTCATACATCGCTCATACTCGTCCACATTGCATACACTACGCACCAAATAATTTTGCCAATGTAAAGTTTGTAGATGGTTAAATAAAAATATGACTCAAGAACGTAGATTGCAGCTTGTATCAAACCAGTTTGATCGTTTGCAGTCTGCTTTATGATCAATCGTACTTGATATAAAATTATATTAATTAATAAAATTAAAAAAAAAAATTAATGTGCATCGTTAATATATAGAATAACGAATGTATTGAAAATTAAATGTATCCAAACAGTTTTACAAAATCTATGATTCTTGATTCGATTTTTGCTCTATGGTCTATTTAATCCCTCGATATTTTTAATGTTTCACTCGATCAGTATGACCCACAATTTTATTTGGTGCGTATTGTTTTGTATTGTCTATTTACTCTATATAAATAATCTTCGCTGCCTACTATTATTATGATAGCGTTTTACGTGTATCCATTACTGGTAAACGTGCATTTGTCTACGCATAAATGAGGGGATATTTTTATGATCCCTTACTGCCGCCTCGGCCCCATCCGCACTGAACGATCGATAATACGAGGACGGAGCTGTCGGAGCTATTCATTCGTATCGTGGACGCCTAGTCTGGTTACGTCATCGGAATATAAATAGGAATTTGATATCTTTCATGTTTCTAGGAATACGACTCAAACTGGCAAGCAGACCTAATAACATTTTATATAAAGAATTCTCCTCATTCCGCTTATTTGACGCGGATAAATGCATGTTCACTTTTAGGATGAGAACTTATGTAATCAAAGTATCAACAAAGAATCTTCATGCCTACAAAATTTTTCCTAAACAATATTTTGATATTTGAGTACCAATCTCTATACATAGAATTGTGATATAGCAATTGGAATCCAATATTGCCTACATAGAGTTTAGAAATGAAACTCTCATAGAATAGAAATAACCAGTTAAAAAAATACCGTATGGATGATGATAATTTAATTACAATAATATATGTTTAAAATGCTATCATATTTTAGGGTAATTATGCAATAAATTATTATAATTGTTATAAATATGAAAATATGGATAATCTATCTTGTCATCGTAATTAGCATTGTTGTGCGTGCAAAACATTTTTTGTGTATACGTGAATCCAAATTTAATGTTGTATTTTAATTTTATTCAAAGAAATCAAATTTGAAGTAATTAATTTTCACTTTTTATATAGTCCGACTGGCGTATATTAGGAAAAAATTCTTTTCCAGAGGGAATTTTATCCGAAATACTCATGCCACTGGACAATTTAATGTTTTAATTTCTCAAATCATGTGTCGTCTTTTGTTACGTGTTGGCGTATTATTATTATGCAATTGTGTAAGATATCAGGTGCTTGTAATGTTTAATTGCTTCCTGTAAAGAATAAATACCACTGAATTGTTGGCATAATACCTATTGTGCTATTATATGATAGGGACATGGGATTTATAATTTTTTAAGATGCAAACGAATAGCACTTGTCAACGACAGAGAAATTATGCGATTAGTGATTTAAAATGAACCATTTCTATAGCTTTTAGGAATAGGCAAAAAGCATAGAAATTTGGTTTAATTTCTAAATACCAAGTACTAATACTGCAATGTAGATACAATTTTAAATTTTTTGACTCTACTACTATGAGGTTTTAAGTATTGCTTTTTTTTTTTAATCGTAGTATAATACATTTCATCACCATTTCGTATTACACCCTCTGCGCGAAACAATGCAGTGGGTAAACTATTGATTCCAAAAAGTGACTTGTTTAAACTTCAAAGTAGTTTTTTTATGGAATGAAATTTTTTTATGAAAATTTGTTCGTAACTGGTTGTCAAATTTTTAAAGCAGCTTGTTTCACAACCATGAATCAATAAAGAAAATACTTGGAATTCTTCCGAGGATCTATTTAGAAAACCTATTCTCAAACAGTATCTAAGTACTATTTTTACATGTACGTATCACGAACAAAGCACATTGAGGTACAAGAACCAATTTTCTATTACAATTTACATCAATGCATGTATCTGTATTTTATGTTCTGAACGATATTTTAATGCCGACCTAAATTTATTAAGTTAATTGTCATAATACGTAAAGATTAGTATCATATTGGTACATTTCCAACTACTATACCCAAGTACCTACTGTTTTCCTAATCTTTACCTATTATTGGAGGAATGTATATTTTGTTGATCTTTGTTATAATGATTTCTAAATTGTATCCATATTTTGTGTAAAAAAAAATGGATGCAAATTAGTGTCATACTACTGTATATTATTTTATTAAGTTAATATATAAACATACATAAGATGTGGTATTTATATGTAAATTTTGAAATAAAATTGATGAAGTTACAAAGCCGTCTTTCGTTTATATAACAATACTTATAAGAATATTCTAGCATTGCTAATCAGGCTAAGAAATAAACATTTATGTATTAGATACGCAAATAATAGCATCTTTACTTGTCAAAACTAAGGGAGGAGGTAAATTTAATGGAATGTTGTCTTTCTTAACCAGTAGTATAAAGTTTAGTGTAGATCCGATTGGACTTTTTCTGGCCTGTAAAGGTCAAATGGTAGATGTAGAATGCTGATCTACATTGAAGCTTTGTAGTTGCAGTTTCTACCTAGTCGATATAATTGGAGATTGTTTATTGATCACCACATTTGATTATTTAAATGACATTTCTATAAATATATTTATAGAAAATCAAAGAGCCACAGATAGAAAAAAATCACAATTGTACCTGTCAATAGGAGTTTAATTAATTCATATTCACAAAGCTAATACTTACGCTCTTTCTTAGTAGTACAGTGTAGCAGGTTTTCGATAAATCACAACAATAAAAATACAACATCAGACCGATACAGTCTTTATTTTGAATAATTATTTATAAATACAAATTGAGAAGTACCGATTCACAACAAAATATTACCTAGATTATAATGTTCGACAAAATATTTATCACTTATCACTTTATCTGAACTGTACAAGTTAGCAGGTGGGCGGGCGGCGGGCGGCGGGCGGAGTCACCTGCTGAGCGAGTGCGAGCGCTCGTGCGAGCGCGAGCGCGAGCCCGAGCCCTCGCCGCCGCAGCGCGCGCGGTCACTGCCTGCGAACAACGCAACAAGCGGCCCCGTGTAGTCACAACCACTACCGCTACCGCTACCACTAGCGCGCCACTACTCGCCACCGTCGCTCGCACACCGAGCCACGCTCCAATATCATATTTACAATGTAACAGCTATACATTATATAGATAGAGCATCGAGCCTCAAAAACGGGATAACTTTTTGTCAAATTAGCTAACTCGTTTTTTTAATCAGTATTCTTTATATATTTATTTTGTCTTTTAATAAAAAGACAAAATAAATATATAAAGGAATCACTCATAATTGTTTGAAAAAGGTGACTCGTTTTTCTCAAAGCATTATTATGGATACACTATCTATATAATCTAAGGTAACAACATATTACACTATCAAACATATTTTTAGTTACGTTGTACACATCGATTCTTAGGTGCCTATCCCTAAAGTTATGTCAATTATTAATTTACACTTTATTACATCACTTAAAAATAATAAAAATAGTAAATTTTAATAACAAGTGATACAAAAAGCAGCCTTATCGCTAAATAATCTCTTCCAGACAAACTTTGGGTAGAGGATATTGCGAAAGACAAAAAGGTGGTGCACTAGTATTTAGATATTATATATACATATATATACACATACTTGTTAGCATATAGACAAAAGGAGAGAATGATGAAGGCAAACGAAGAAAAGAACACAGGAAAATAGTACTAAAGAGGTAGTAAGTAGGACTTGACAGAGGTTTTGAAGCTAGTGAGAGTTTCAGCACAGCGAATAGACACGTAGTGGGTTCTATAGGAAAATAGCCAAGACAGTTAAGTATTTAAAATAAAAGGAAGAAGAAAGAATGGGAAATGTGAGGCGGAGGTTGACACTACACAAAGTATGGTCATTAGCCTCACTGAGAAACACAAATCAGTCTTCAGGGAACCACTTGAGTACAAAATTGGGAAACGTTTTGGATCATATTTGCGAAGACCAAATATAAAGTGAGTACATAAATTTTGAAGAAGCTCAAGCTTATTTAATTGCTCATCGGTGAGGTCTAAATAACAGGAGTCGGTATAATCGAGAATGGGGAGGAGTAAGGTGTGTGTGAGCGTGATTTTGGCGCTAACAGGGAAGAAATTCAAGACACTAGTAACAGCAATATTGTTTTTTTATAGTTTATTAAAACTGTTAAAGTATCGATGCAAAACTAGGTATTGATATAATCAAATCGAAATTTTATATTCAGACACAATGATGTTTAAACCTACTCAGTGTCTCTAAATATGTTGCAACAAAATCGGTTAACTTTATTATTCTTGCTCGAGTGAATAAAAATATAGTCATTACAACACCAGAAAATGAAGATGGGACGTTTTTATGCTAATTATAAATAGTTTTTCTAAGCTAATATGTTTGATTGTGTAATATGGGGTAGATACGGATACATCATTATGTGTAATTTTCCTTTTCCATTGCAATGGCAATGTCGCAAATCAGACAAATTTACAGCTAAATGTACATAGAGAACTGAGACGACACCAAAGTGAAATATCGTGGCGGCAGGTCAGATTGCTACGTCACGTCATCATCGAGAAATATTTTGATTATTTTAACGCGTGATTGTGATTATTACAATTTTTTATTATTGGACACAAATTATTTTTTATTTGCATATTCAATCCGATTTACAAGCATGATAAGAATTTATTATTTTAGCACCAAAATATTTATTGTTTATTCTATAAGCAGACACGTGTTGTTTGCTGTAATGTTATTTATTTAACTGCGTCGCAGAATACGTTCACGACGTAGGTATGTTTGCGTCAGCTTCGAAGTCCTGCCAATTCTATACTATGCTACCCTGTGTCGTCTTCGTTTTAGTATACGTTTAGCTTAATTTACGAGTACATCGTCTTTATATGTCTCTGACCGTAAGCGTAACGCTTTATAACTGTACCTAATATTTGGTCAGGGCTTCGCGACGTTGGCATTGCTACTGAATTGGGCCTCAAAGGAGAAAATAAAAAGAAATTTTTGCATTTAAAAAATAACATATTGTAAATATCAGTTAATATTTGAACGCTCCCCAGACTGCTAGGTGCGTCACTATGCGACAAGCTTTGTCCAGAATTAGAGGATACTTTTGTCTGATAGCAAGATACTGTACTAAGTATTATTATTCCTCTTTCCGGACAAGGACTAGCAGACATTGATTACAAATTGACATTCATGATATCACTAACTATACAAGGACAGTAATCTTAATTTATTGTGACTGATATCAACATGACAGGTCACTGATTTACAGCCATCCAGTAAAAGTGCTAACACAGCCTTTTGCTATTTTGCTTTGCAATAAAACAACAGTTGCTTCAATTGTGACAATATTGAAATCGTGTAACATACACACAAAAAAACCTACAGCGAAATTGATAACTACTTGCGTTCAGAAGTCGCTTTAAAAATAAGTAATAAAATACATTTCCAAAAGATATTACTTTTATTGAAATACATGTCCTTTCTATTCATATAATTCTCACTTCTTTACATTTAAACCTAATTACTATTAAATAATTTTTGGAATTTAGTATTAGCATGAAATTTCATGCAATCTATTTGTGATAAATGTAAATATATAGTAATAACAATATTTACTTACAAAAACTAAGGGATTCGATGTTTGACTTCTCGTCCCACTAATATTTCTCCCTAAGTTAATCGACTTTTATTAAATACTCACCCAACAGAGGAATAAATTCTTAGATTTGTTTGGAGTTTCGGAATAATGATAGAAAATTTGAGTTATAGTTAGTATGCACACAGACGGACACGATTGAAAAAAGTTTGTCAAATCATAGTATAATGATTAGACTGTTGGCAATTATTATTTGCTAATATAATAGCTGAACATACTACAAGTTATCGCTTTAAAAAACAATAATTCCTACAAAATTACTATTGAAGTAACACGAGAGTAAATTCCAGCCATTGTAAAAGAATGACGAAAATCGGTTCAGAATCGGACACACAGCCAGGGACATAGTCGAAAAGTCGCTTATAATACATAAATCCGTCATCATCCTCCTGTTTTTACCTTATATCACATTTAAATATCGTCTTATCGAATGTACAACTTTCATACATTGTACAATATATCAACATACATTATATATATGAAAAATGTACTCACATAACATTATATAACTTTAGACATGCCCTTTCTATTAACATTATATTTTTCTAACAAACAGACATTACGGTTACGATTCTCATTTGTAACCATGTAAACATATTTCATTATTTCGGTACAAAATAAAAAAACTAACACGAAGTAATATGCGCTTCTGAATAGATTCATCTAGAAGCTAATTATATTACAATCGCTACAAATATTAAACACGAATAAGACTAATCTCATGTTATTTAACACCACAATTTAATATTTGTTGTGGTCTTAAATTAAATTGGACATCAATATATGTCATAGTTTGTATTTACAGATAATACAGCTCAAAACATACAGAAACAATGTTATAGACATTTAACACTTCATATATAAGCGAAATCAACCAGTCACTAACACATTAACAACACATATTAAAAAAAATAATATCATGTCGCAATATGAGTTTGAATAGAAAGAAAAATAAAGCTTTAATAAAAGCATTTAACTGTGTAATAAAAGGCCTGACCTAAGGAATGATGGCCTTGAAAACTGGTGTCCTATAACAAAAGAAATCTTATTGATTTTAACTAGTAATACTTCAGCGAGAAACTTTTTACAGTATCAATAGATAGGAACACATTTCGGGCCAATTTCATGATAGCTTGGCATGTTCCATTTGTTTCATCGAACGATAATTCCCGGAACAGTGAATGTAGTAAAATCCGAAGTAACTCTACCAACCTAGGAGCTATCATTAGATTTTTTCGAAAGGGTGTTAGTCCACCATACTCAAACTGCAGACTGTCTAAGCATTGCCCAGAATTTATTAATCATAATTCCAAAATTAAATGTATGAAAAACGTCTTACAGATTATAATTTCATAAGTTTCTGCAATAGTTATGAATCTATATAGATAAAATTGTTTATTATATGTGTCCAAAACTATAGCAAGTTGAAGAAAACGTAAAATTTCGTGACTCATAGTTTAAAAATGTACAATAGGCATATTACACTATAAAATATAGAGAATCATATTTAAATTGATTTACTAAGCTAACACAATAAAAAAATAGAATATTCTATTCAAAATAAATTACAAATAACTGCACAAATATAAGCTTTACAATACAGCGTCATTGACATTTCTCAATATAAAACTGTCACTAATTTCGACACTGATTATAAATATTGAATCCATAGGTTAAACAAAGAGACAAAAGTTAACACGAAAATTAGATTAATAACTAAGTGAGGTAACCTAAACTCTATAATTTAAGAATAAACGGAATATTATATTTACCATATTTGTATTATATCTGAGACTAAAATGTAGTGTAATATACCTATATTGTGGCCTAAGTTTGAGCATGGCTGTTGTAGGTAAAATATTGTTACTACCAACCGAGCCTCTGGTGTGTGGGTAGTTTGTTGAAGAAGGGATGCTTGAGCGCTTCCCGCAACGTGATCCTCTGAGAGGGTTCGTATTCCAGCATCCGCGCGATCAGGTCAAAGAGCTGCCGGTGTTCGTCGCTGTTGCTCTGTAGGTACCTCTGTATAACAAAATATGTAATTATTGGTATTGTGTTCAATGAGGTGAAGGTCCCGCATACATAATAAACTAGAGGCGATTAAATTTGTGACATAAGATTTTGGGTCGTAATCACAATGCCCAGTCATTTCATTACCGTAATGATGCCGATAAACACTAGTTTCCCCTAGTAAATGATTAGCTTGGATGGCAATATGACTTAGGAATAAGTTAAACGAGGCAATTAACTGAAGCGATATATTAAACCTTAGAAGGCTAACAAATAGGTCTTTTTTTAATTCTTGGAAAAAACTTCATGATTTTTTTATACAACATAAAGTGGTAAAGAAGCTGACTGTCAACTTGATGGGTATGAACTTTACTAGAATTATATTATTCCATTTGATTTTAGATGTTTTATTAGATCATTAGATAGGTCATTAGTTAGTTAACCGATCTCAGTATTTGCCACTTCAGAATCCTATCTATTAATAGAGGGACTGGCTAAAACTCACAGCATCGGCTGAGCCAATTCCTTTTGCCAAATATGAAACACTTCAAAACACTTATAAACATATAATATTTTTGTAATAATTATTTTTGTTATTGTAATTGTGTTTTCCTAGCAATAAATATTTCCTATACAATTCTATAATTTTCACCTATTAAACCCTTAATGTGCAAAAGCATACAAAAGAATAAATTATTTATTACTATCTTTTACCCACAACTTCGTCCACGTGGCAGCGACATGTTCATTGACTGGGATAAAAAGTAGCCTATATCCTTCTACCTACTGCAGAGTAGGTGTACACCAAATATTATAGTATTTGGTTAAGCCGTTAAGGCACTAAGAGGTAACATACAAGCAAACTCATTTTCATACTTATAATATTAGTACATATACAAAAATTCGGATTAATGCTTACCAGTAGTGGTTTGCAGTTTTCTCTGACGTATCTGCCGGCTGACGATTTCTCATCCCAGTCTAATTTGCCGTGATAAAAGTATTTCGTCCGTGTTTTACGTGCCATTCTGAAAAAAGTAATACAAATATATTAATATATATTTTTTTATTAGTTAATCCCTAAAAAGGGGTTTTGTCAGTAATTACCACGTTTACCACGCAAATTAGCAACCGCAGTTAGGCTTTGGTGATTATCTAAAAGGGGCACTGCTGCTCATCTCTCGACCATTAAGGTAATATTATCCATAATTCTTTAATATATTGAAAATTTGTATATGGACATCTCAAAAAACGAAAATGCATACAATCATAGTGGTAGAGTTAATTGATACAGATATCTCTTTCAATACAAATTGAAGTTTAAAATATCATGCCCAAGAGCAAACGTTTGTCAGAAATGGCAATACATGAAATGTCAATACATAAGCAGCATATTATATTATGTAAGGTCTAATATACGGTTTATATCATCTTAGACTTTAGACAGGAAAAAATTGCAAACAAATCATCAGTATAAATAAGTTTCGTGCACTCACCTGTAAGGTATAGGTCCTAGTATCCTCTCCATCATGGCGAGGTGTTCCCTATTGTCATGTGTTTGGAACAGTGTGATGCCTAAATGTAATTCGAACATGATACAACCGATTGACCAGACGTCACACGGTTGTGACCAGCCCAACTCTGAAATTAACGATATCATAATATATTTCATACTCATACCAGAGGGAGACTTTGTACAAAAGTCGATTGCTTGGGTACCTCTGTCCCATTCGTGTTTCTACCGTGAAGCAGTTGTGTTTGCATGGCTGTGTTTCGGTTTGAAGTGTGGGATATGACGTAAATTTACTGGGTACAGAGGAATAACATCTGAGTCCTCAGGAATAGCGACGCATGGGGGGTATTATGGGCGAAACGGTATGCTCTGTTATGTCCATGGTACTGCAAACACAACTGCTTTACGATTAAAACACGAGTGGTACAGAGGTACAAAAGCAATCGACTTTTGTACAAAGTCTCCCTCCGGTAAATGTAGCATCATTATATTCCTGCCCTTGTCCCAATTATTTGGGATAGGTGAGGATGAAGATCAGTTGGCTCATCGTAACGAATTCCACAATTAACCACGATAGTGTCCAAGAAGAACCGCGTGGAGGTCGACCTGATAAGATGTATTCTTAGTAATGTGGAAATTAGACCCTATTACTAACAAGCCCATCCCTCTTCTTGGATATGATTGGAAGTCAGACATTTATTGGTAGTATCTGCCACTTACGTAATATAGGGAAAGAAGCATTGACAGAGGGGGAATGAGTAAAGTAAATGGTAAGAAAATGAATGCTTTATGAGGAAAAGGAAAGCGAGCACTGCAGTTGCAGAGGGATACTGGTTAGAAAACGAGAGGCAGTGTTCACATACACGTGTGCTTAACCGGACAAATTATGTTGAATTCGTCACGATGGGCTAACTGACCTACTTCATCCTCACCTATCATCCTTCACTGGTGCCCCGCCGGTGTATACCGATGGCGCGGGTGGGGCGCTTATCGTAACTTTTAATGATGTCAAAATGAAGAAAGTATTTGAAGAGAGTTGTACAAAAAGCCTAAAGACTACTGGGGGTACATGTGCCAATCTCGTCTTCACCAACAACAGCTGTGCTTACATCTCTTTTATTCAAATATTTCATTTTCTAGGAGTGTGGTACCATTGTCAATACAGTGTTTACCGATTTCAAATAGGATATTTGCCAGTGGCGTAAAGCAGTGGTGTGGTGTACGTACCCAGTATCACTTCGGGAGCTCGGTAGTGGCGCGTAGAGACGATGGTGCTGTGATGCTCGTGGTCAAATGTGGCGCTACCAAAATCGATCAGACGGACATCGCTTCTTTTCACCCGTAGCAGGTCGTGACTCTGTAATGGGCACGAATAAACGTACATATTAGGAACGGGGCTTCTTAACTAGAAACATCGACTTCGATGTACCACAAAATATTTCATACATATTTAAGTTTGAATTAATTTGTTAGTAATGCGGACTACCGGTCCCATTGCTAACAATATACCCTGACAGGTCGACCTCCACGTGGTCCATCCTGGACCTGCTCTTTCATTTTCACTTATATCATCCGATATATACCGATAGCGCGGGCGGGGTTACCATTCCATTATCATCCATTAAAAAACTAAATTGTAAAATCTATATCGGTCTCAACCACAATACACAACTGTGACGTATTGAACATTTGATAGGAAATTATTGTTAACAACATAATGGTTAGCGAACATCAATTTATGCTACAAACATTTATATAACACATATGGGATTTTCCAATAATTGTATGGCTGTTAGCGATCTAATTATATATCTTTGACAAAAAGTAAATTGGTTGTCGCATTTATTACCATTTACGATAACACATATAAAACATAATTATATAAAGAATAAACAATTAGGTTATGTTTTTCATTAAAGTATGTACTGTGATTTTATACCTAAATTATTATTTTCAGATACAAAGTGTAAAAAATAAATATAATATACTACAAACTACTTACTAATGATAGTGATAACTGTAGATATTTGTTGGAATGTTATGAAATTTATATGCGTATATAAATACATGTACTCTTCCATAATTATATTAATTGACCTTCACGCATTATCAAAGGTCTATTTATAAATAAAGTATTTTTTGTCTTTATTCTTACTAACAGATAATGAAAGCGTACAATACATATGAAAAATATCTTCTGCGTATATTTCAGCAAAAAAGAATGTTTACAGGAAAACAATTCACGTCAGTTGGTCTAATAATTTAATACACAGACTTGTAAAATTAAATTTTAGTCTAACGAAAAACGATAAATATTTAATACATGGGTATGAATTAGACAGAGATCCGAGTATGAAAGGCAAAAATTTGTATATTTTATTTAGGTTTCAAATTAGTCTTCCGGGAATAACCTAATCTCTCTATAGATTGTCACATATAATTCGAATACATTACATCAAAATTTATCGAATATTGTATTCACCACAATAAAGATCTGCTAAAGGTCTTTGATCCTCTCCTATCTGGGTTTTTAGTGGTAAACACATTTGTTTTCATACATTTTAGTATGATAAATATATAAAATTGAATAAAGTAGATAATTCATGTAAAGTTCAACGTACCTTCTTAGAACTACTGTATACACTGACGACTTCGTAGTCGCTGTCGACGAACAAAATGTTCTCCGGCTTGAGATCTGTGTGTGTTAGTTTGTTCTCGTGTAGGAATAGTACACTGTAGATCAGCTGGTACGAGATGTGCCGCACCTGTTCCAGGGGGTATGGCTGGTAGTTGTTGTCTTTCTGTAAAGTTATAAGGATAATTTTATAAATAAATATCACGAAGCAGAACTGTACTTGGGTACTTAGCAAGCGACTGATCACATTAAATGTACAATGTGATCAACTCTGAGACGTCATCTCTCTTTCTCTAAATCTAATATATTAATTTAATAACTTCTCGAAATTACTCTTTTATGGACACTCACAAACTAAAGTTATATAATTTTGGACCTAAATCCATTAGAAATTTAATTCATATTGGTCCTTAGAACAGATTTCGTTGTAATCTTAAATTGTAATTTTAAAAATAGGTATAGTGAAATGGTGCTTTCTAAATCGTCATTATTGTATTTACTTTTTTCAATATAGTCATAGACATAATAAACACCCAGATAAATATAAACAAACAATTACGAATACAAATGTTTATTTTGTGCGGGGATCGAATATTATGTTCATTAGCCGCTGCCATATCTATTATTTCATGACACAGAAATACGTGTAATCGCTCACACTCTCAAATAAATCTCACACTAGAAGTATAACGCTCAGTCTTTAAAAGTGGCGACGTACGAGGATTGACAAGACCATGGATTAGACATGACAATGGTATTTTGTCATACCTATGGTGTTATTCATGTAAATTGGCAATGTTCCCTAGGTTTCATGAAAATGATTGTCAACTTGTGAAGAAAAATGATCAGCAGGTACAACAATTAATATAACTTATAGTTTTGGATTTATTTTAGCATTTTGTCTTGCATCCAAATAGTATTCTGTTAGGATTTACCTGTAACGTCATTAGAAAGACTTTCACGTATTATATTTACGTATTACTTGGCACATAAACATTGTAGATATTTATTTAGCAAATCTATTTTAATATATCCGAAGAATATTTAAATTACATCTGCCAATTAATAAAAATAGTGCGACGATTCACCGGTATCTTTTGATTGGCCAACGGCAAATTTTATGCAGTCAAAATAAAAATTAATCTATATTCGATTCAATACATATAAATATTATGAATCATGGCAAACGTTACTCACCAGGAAGTCGAACACACTCTGCCCGAGCATCTCAAACGCGATGCACATGTGGCCGTGATATTCGAACCAGTCCAACATTTTAACACATAAACTGGAAAGGAAATAACGTGATAGTTAGCGAAATGTATTTAAAACGTTCACATTCATACTCTCGGCCGTATCAACATAATTAGAAACAATAACGTCAAAATCAAGGGCGTGGGTAAGTGCGCTGAAAAAAGTATCTATTTAGAAATATATGAGCAAGTGGCAGACGGTATTTTTGTGTTTTGAGTTGACATCGCATGCGCTGGCGTTTGGCCAGCCGGCCGCGTCGCCTCGCTGGAGCCGCAAGGTCACATGTTGCCACACGGGTTGCCGAGAGCCGAGCGCGATGTTCGCCTCTCGCCCATTACAACCAGACCTGTCTTGTACGGCCACTCGCTTGCACCAACAATTGCAATGTAATACAATGAAATACTCACTTTTTACAGTCCGGATCAACCTCGGCTAATTTTTCTAAAACGTTTATCTCTAGTTTCGCGGCCTCTCTGTACTTCTCAACGTTTTTGATTATCTTCAGAGCCATTCTGTGCTCCCTGAAAAATTATTATTAGATTATGTTAATATAATTTACTGGCGTACATTATAAAATTCGGTATTTGCTGGCAATAAGTATTGAAAGACGACGCGTTAATATAAACAAACTAAAATAGCGAGGAATAATCAAAGTAAAACATGTAATGCCAAACAATCTGTGTCATCATCCGCTTGCAGAGATGTGAATGACACTGGATCGCTCGATTGATATGAGTAATTGATTGTTCTATTGAGTACACCATATCAAGAGCTGCATACATTGATTAATAGCGGAAATCCAACAACTATTTTTATTCAGGAATTTTATACAGACAGAAATACTGATGGAAAATTGTAATCGTTGTTTATAAATATAAACAACACCATGGACATTACAAAATATACTATGTAGCGCATGGATTCCCAGTACTTTGCTATACCTCAGTATTTAGATTTTTATTTTGATAATAAAATTGGATAAACATATTGTGTACGTTGAGGGAATGGGAGTACGCAATAAGTGGCTGGTCAAGTCGGCTGACGGCGCTCTCAACGGATATACTTTGAGCAAATGTAGGATATAATGAAAAGACGCAAAGAGCACATGAAGAGAATTATTCACGTACCAAGTAAGGTGAAGCATTATAATCAGAATAGAAAAATACATTTATCGTTATTTATTATAAAGGAAAAAGTGCCTCCAAGAATACTAATAGTGTATCGTCAATTACACATACTATGTACCTACTAACAATCTGTTATTGTATTCTATATGTATTTTTATTACGGGACTCATCGTGAAAGTTTTTTTCTTAAATATTTAAAAAGTAAAAAAGAAACTAAACATTTAATATATAACTAATGCAGTTACATTCACTGATCTATATCTATACTTATAATAAATCTGTAGAGAGGTCAATTCTGTACATAAAGTATATTTTCAAAATAACTAACTATCAGGGGGTGATTAGTGATCGATACTGTTGCCAAAAATGTAATCAGTAAAATTTTTGACGGTCTGTTCGTACGTATTTTGATGGTATATTCGTTATAGAAACAAAAATTACTCGACGGATTTTAAAGAAATTTGTTACAATTATTCTTCATACTTCTGGGCAGGTTATAGTATACTTTTCATCACGCTGCGATGAATAGGAGCAGTGCAGTGAAAGGAAATGTTGGAAAAACGGGAGAATTTACTCCATTTTTAAGCTTCCGTCGTGGGTGCAGCCTTAAGTCCCTTTTTAAAATGTAAAAATGTCCACACGTGCGACGTCGGGACGGGCAGCTAGTCAGTAATAAATTGATACACACATACAAAACCACACAGTTATATAATATTCTAACAAGACCTCTTCTAAAGAATAACGTTTAACGTAATGTATGTAGATTAAATGATAATTTAATCTAAGGCCCGATTTTATTTTAAATATTTTATTAAAACTCACATTCCACTCGTATTTTACTATATCATGACTGAATATGTTCAATATTATTAAATTTTTTCTTTATGTTTTAATAAATATATATTATGTTTCTAGTATAATAAAGAGTTAAATAAATAAATAAATAATAAAGACTCTATATCTATTATATCAGATGTAGTGATAACTGTACTCACATTTCTAAATCCTTCACCTCAACCACCTTGCCGAAGGTGCCCTCACCGAGTGTGTCGATGATTTTGTCTGTAATAAAATCAAGGTAAACCGATTAGTTGAAAGAATACGAGATAAGTCATGATGGAATTTGGTATTGGTTTCTCAATTAATCTGAACTCGAAACACTGAATTCATCAGTAAATAAAACTACTTGAAGCTTAATTATTCTTAATTGGAAGCATCAGATATGAGGCAAAACCAATGACTTCAGCTCCAACATGACTTTGTGGTAAGTAAAGGATCACATTAAAAGTTGTTGCTGTATTCATTAGAAGTTACAAAATAAAATGTAATAAATGAGAAATTTTAATATTTAAATCTTCGTAAAACACGGATCACTGAACTGCAATCTCGACTGTGGGGCTAGTGTTGGAAAGTTTGTCTCTAAAGGTAAATATATTGGATATTTACTGCATACGGCAAAATGCAGATTTGAACTTTTTATGAAATGTGTATCTGTTTACATAGACCTTTGGTGTATGACGTGTGTTTAAGCGTGTAAAGTGTGTGAATTGTACGTGTTTGAATACATATGTTCGTAAGTTATGGTGTGGACACGAACATCTCGCTCCCATGACATATCCGGGCCAGTACACCAGGTGTCCGTCCTTGTCGTCCTTGACGGAGGAGCGTGCTCGGGAGCTCTGCAAGCGCCGGCGCCGCAGTCGCAGGGTCCGGTCCGGGCAGCAGACACCACACGCCACGCACCGCGCGCCGGCATCACGTCACACGCACCAGCGCACCACGCCACATGCCACGAGGAGCGCCACGCGTTCGCCACGACCCGAGTAGTGTTGTACCCAACAATCAAACAATGGAACGGTTGCCCGTCAGACAAGCGACAATTGGTATGGTGTGTCGTACATGCTGTTAAAGGGCAGACGAGTGGACGCTACGGACGCGCTGGGCGGGCACCCGAGACCAGCTCGGCCACCCGCCGTTCTGGTGCGCCGCTTGCGGGACCGGGCAGGAACAGGAAAGTGACCAGGACTTACCGGGAAGGACAGGATCCGATGCGTCTCATTCACTCTCTCACTAACAAAAATCACCATACGCAATGGATATTGAGGATATAGTGTCCACCCGAACAAACTAGTCTAGTTAAATAAATTAATATCAATTACTAACGGGAGAGCAGGTAGAATTATCAGAACTCTGTTTAAGACTAAAGTTTGAAAAGATTTTTACACAAAAAAAGGACATATTTACTTTGAAAACACGCACAAAATATGTTAATACATGCAATAACATTTTTATCATCATAAAATATGTATGTCAAAATATTGTTAGTTATTGTTAAGACTAACGACGAAACATTATAATGTCACATTTTCTTAAAACTACCCTCTGATGCCGTTACTTTTCATTGATTTCATGACTACGATTTATTAAGTAACCTACATACATCTATCTGAGTTTCATGCATCGGTTTAATTAGTATTACCGGTTAAGAAAGTTTTTATTTAATGATTACGAAGCATAATTATATTAAGTGCGCAGTATAAGTTTTAATTAGGGTGAATTCCTTTTGTCTCGCGTTTATGCATTCGTCGATACAAATATATACGAGTATATATTGAAAAACAACGGACCAGGTGTATGTTAGCGGCACACAGAGGCGCAGGCGGTTAGCGTTGTGCTTACAGGCGGCGTGACCGCGCGCCGCAACAGGTGCCGCGGCCGCTGCGGACGGTGGCGGCTGCGCAGCTCGGGCGGGAGCATTACCACGTCCCCGATACCTAGCGGCTCCGGTTTCTTAGGCATGATCGCATCAGTCGGCACCTCATTAGTCTCCCTCTCGCCAATTCGACCGTACACCTCATCCAGGTGTGCGTATTTCATTATTAGGCTCTGTATTTCCTTACGTCTAGTTTCCCGTTCGGTTAGTACTCGATCTCCTACAGGAGTTTTGTCATCGTCCTCTTCATCACTGCATGGAAAGTATATTTGTTTTTGTCTGCCAATTTCTCTGACTGGAGAGGATGCCGGTGTTTTTGTTGTTTTTTGATTTCGTATTCGTTTCGTTTGTACCTGTTTGTATTGGCGATATTAAATCGCGAGCACCTGAATGTATATCGATATCTATAGGTCGCAATGTTAATTTACCTTTTCTATCTTTAGTTTCACTTTTTTCAGCTCTGAGAGATCTTCTTTGATGTCTTCTATAGACACTATCTCTGTCTTTTCCAAAGTAAGGACGGTCTCTAAGTGGTACATCATACCCATTTTTATATTCCTCTTTATCTTTTTGTTTCGGGTTTGAAGATATACGACGATCTGCGGTATTTCTATAAGGTGTTTTATCCCTAGTTTTTTCACGTGAGTAATTATTCCGTTTAAACGAGTTTTCACCAAAAACTGCTGTCGTCAGACTTCTCATCAAGCCTCTGGGCATTGATGGCTCCGGTTCTAAAGTTTTATCTCTGTCTTCTTTGTCTTTTCGAGCTTTTTCTTTTTTCTGTAAAGCAATCCTGTCCAAAACCGAGGAATATTTATCTTCTAAACGACTACGTGTGCTACCTAATAAGATGTTGTCTAAATTATGATTTGCTTCCTTGAGGGGATATCGTTTCGTGAAGGGTGATGATTTGTTATCTTTCATTTGAGCCCTGCGAAATGAGTCACTGCGGCTGAGAGCGCTAATACCAGAGATAGCAGAATGTAAAGGTGATGTCTCGATCCGAGACTTAGGTCCACTTAGATAACTCGAATATGTTCGATCATCTAACTTTCTTGTAACTGGTGTAGTTGCTCCGGATGTTAGTGATGTGTAAGGCGAGATATGTCTATTATTCTCGTAACGTCGTACACTAGCAAGTGTCGGATTTTTGTTCGTAAGCAGTTTGTCATCGTATCGACTTCTAGCTGTACTCAACTTAGCATCAGCTATAGCATCAGATTTCTCAGAAGGTCCACGGCGAGTTAGTCTATTCATGATGCTGGAATAACCATCTGACAACAATTGAGTTACGCTAGTGGTAGAGGCACGACTGTAGCGATGTCGTCGAGGGGCGCTCGTGCCATTAGCACTGAGTGTAGCCATATTTTATATCTTTAATAAAATCCAATTGCACACACACTAACCAGGATATATCACGTAGTAATCGAGAAACGTCATAATTTCACATCAGACGAAGATAGACAAAACATTACTTTTCTTTGTTTAACCGGCGAATATCGCGGCACCGAACATTAGACTGAGTCTATCTAGAGATTGGGAGCGTACCTAAGCGCGAACGAATTTCAGAAAGATCACTAGCGCAGTCGAGTGCGGCCGCCGGTGCCAAGTAATGGTCGTGGACTAAAAATATCGGCAACCCGTGGGAGCGCCCTCCCGCGCACTTGCGAGGTGTCCGCCACGCGAACGTTTCTTCGCATTACAACAGTTATAATTAATGTCCACTGCTTTTCTTTAAGTGATTTGCTTTCATTAAATGCAATAAGTTACATTCTTTGGAACCTTTTTTTATATGATAACATGATTTCATTGTGAAACATTTTGAATTTTATATGAAATATATGAGAACAAAGTCGTTTACGTCAAACGACATTCACCCACCTACGTATTTACAATAAAATTTTGCCAAATATTTTCTGTATATACCGATCATGTTGTACGAAAGGAGATGTAAGAATAAATAACCAGTATCCGGTCGATAATAAGTATAAGGTTTTATGGAAACAGCGCAATATTTTCTTCTTTTATATTAATTTATTAGTGAGCATACCCAATGTTCCTAATTGAAACTATTGTACTTGTATTTATTTGTAAGTATATATACACCTTTCTCTTAACAGTGAGCACCAGAGCCAAGACAGTTTTGTCAATAAGCTGCAAGTAATTGGGTCAGTGGAGCACGTGCGACTGAGCACTGAACAATGACGCCTGCGCATACGGTAGCCACTGTGTCGGCACTAACACTCATACAGTATACGTAATATCTTCTCCATAGGTCAGATGTACTCTTATTTTCAAATAATTATTATATTTGTTCCATAAGATGTATTTAATCATTTTAGCTGCGAACGACTCGAACGGATGCTGCGTTTGATACGTCGAGTGTCACGAATACTATCTATGTCTCACGGTTATCGTATTGTAAACGAATCATAACACATTTATTTGTTGTTCGTCTGCTGTTAGAATAATCTATATACTGAAATTTGACCTCAAAATGTATTAATGTCTGTATCGCGTTCAAAGATACAAATCTAAGTCAAGAAAGTAAATGAATTCAATGGTAATATAATAAATTGATTCAAGAATTATTTTGTAATAGTTTCACATAGGGGATGTGTGTACAAACAATAAACAGACGTATTGCATAAGAAGTGCTACAAATATAATTTGAACATTCCTAAACATCGTGACCTCGTCGTACAAATAGGTATATATTGATAAGTCGACGTTAAGATACGTATTTCTATACATTATTACTATAATTATTTAACCCGGAATAATGTAAATGTTTCTTATAAATACCTAAGTTATCGAGAAACATGCAGTGAAAGAATAGATTCAACTTTTATTTCATTAAGTAGGTTTATTTAAACAGATGCTATGTTCGTACGTACATACCTTACACCAGTGTAAACTCCAATCATCGAGTATTCTCGGATAATTAAAATCGACGAAATGTTTTAATATTCCCAATAAATTATAGATTTTCATTTTAATTGTCATATGATTAAAATACGAAGATTTTTGTCAGAAACATTTAAAACTATTTTATCATAAATTTATTATGTAGACTAACACAATCTACAAAGTTATACAAGGGATCGAGCACGTTAACTAGCCAGCTGTTTAGTATGATTATAGGGATGCATTGCAGGTAAGAACGGGTCTTGTCCTTATTGGTAGGGTATTTTTTAGACAAGGATAGGGATAATTTCGAGCAGTGTTAGAGTAGTCGATAAGTATCAAAAGAATTTACCATCTATTTTATTATTTTGATTTGAACCAGATTTTTTTTTTTTATTTTGAAGAGATAAGTATTTCAATGATGAGTAAAATTTAATTTTTTAAAATATTGTATCGAGACTGACCTTTCCCACAAGTCGACTACACGCACCGTCCACATCAAAAAGGATCTCCGCAACTACGGAGAGCAATTTAGCAACATCGTGCCACTTGCACTTGTGCTCCTTGAGAAACCGCTTGTACAGATCGTAAAAGGAGGTGAGCCGTAGGGGCATCCGTATACGGTCGTGTTTTATTGATAATTCAGACATCTTTATTTACAGCACACACATAACACTAGTTTCATAAACAAAAAAACCACAAGATAGAAATGTAGACGGGGGCGAGTGAGTTCGCGGCCGCTTGTCCGATAACTCGCAACTAAACTGTGGTAATATGCAATAGCGCCACGCTACACTCAAGCACGACTCTTCTTTACAAGTCGAACGTCACAACAAAACATCAAGATTATATACACGCAACAATGACAAGTAAATACGAAAAAAAATCTAAACTGTTCGCATCGGTCAATGTCTAAGAGTGAACTGAGACGATTGTCGATGAATCGTTTCAATTAAAGATGGCAAGCATTTATGGAATTGTTAATTGGTGGCGGAGCTTGGTTTGAACAGGATTTATCCGAGTTGCAAATTATTAACTATTAATTATAACATTACTTCTAACAATAAAAGAAAAAAAAAACAATAACGGTACATATGTTATCTATCAAATACAAATATTAAATATTCAGACACCTATAGATAATGAGACTTATTATTTTAAATACAGGTATTTATGTATATTCAAACGGGTATATTTCTTTTAAAGAAATAATATATATGCCAGTGATTGCAACCCAAATAATCCTTAGTGATTACTGTCGACTATGACGGTTACGCTAAAATGTTTTTTGCCAAGGAAGATAATCAACGTAGAAGGGGGCGCGATTACCAATGATTAACATTAATTAGGTTTCATAAGGCAATTGACTGGAAATTAAAATTGATACAATGAAAGCCAAATTCACGACCACTCATATTATGTTTGAGTTGGGATGGTAAACCTCTTTGGCATAACGATCTAAATAATACGCTCAGTGGACAGTAGTGCCTTCCATATCTGAGTTAAATAATTTCTGTATATACAATACTTTTGTCCCATATGATCTTCCATAGCGGATCCAGAGAGAAATATACTAATGTAATGTAAAAAGTCATTTAATAACATAAGTCTTTTAATAACAATACAGTTTTTTCATTAAGATTGGTCCAGAAAAGGTCTCTAAATAAGATCGTTATTGTTTCACTGTTGTACCGTAGCAAAACCATATTGTTTGCCGGTCACTAACATCTAAAGTACGGATTAATTTAAATAGCATATACTCAGTTAAGTAATTATAGTAATGCTGCAGATTATGGTTGGCGCAATATGACCACATGAACGATATCGGCAAGGTCGACCGGAAGGAACTGGGCATTACCAAATAGATAGGTAGGTTTGAAACAGCCGCGTACCACATTTATCAGACCATATCTTGACCGACGCGATGGCGGCCACGCCACATTAATGATATGCGATAGGGAATGTACTCATTGGTACTGTGAACTTGACCTTAGGCTACATAACAACATATACTAACTTATTAGGATTAAAGATATTCTTGCGAATGAATTCAGATAATTATATAAAAGAATATTAACAACAATAAAATTTCTAGTTAAGAACAACTCGTGAAGATTAATCACGTGTTATTCAAGTTGGAAATAACGAATAACACAAATTTTAAATTTGGAATATTCAACGGCATGTTTGTAATTCCACCATATTACGTTAGTAGTGGGGTTCTTGCTACTTCATGTGAGGTGATAACATGCAATGGTAATTAAATGAAGACAGAACGAAGCGACGCTCATGTTCTCTTATCCTGAGAAGCTGATTCAGTGCTCGCACTGATTCAAGCCGGATCCAGCGGGTTTCAATTGTGCATTTCGTACTACAATTCAAAACAATTGAGGCGTACGCCTCTTCATAACAGTCTATTAGGCAAATGTGTTTGCGATGGAGCTTTGTTAAACATACATTTCAACTTACAAGAACTTTTTAATTTTAAAGTGCATACTTTAAATGAATTAACTAATTGGTTATATGACCATTAACCATGACTGCGTTAATTAGGACAACGATAGATAGTTGCGAAATTCATTTTCAACATGACTAGTGGTAAGCAAATACAGTAACAACAAAAAAAAAAAAACATTTCTTGTTATAAATATGTCAAAGTAATTGATAAACGGCAGCATTAACGATCAAAAATAATCTAGTAAATCATGAATATGTTAATTATGTTAATATTGTTACTGTTAGCGGCTCTGCTCGCTTTCAATTTACTGCTAATAGAAATCAATGGATCAATAATCTCATTCTTATACCATTAGTATTTACCAACCTATTATTTTTTTTATTTGCAAATTACATTTTCACAGTTCTCTCAACGGTGACAAGATTGTTTTAATGACTGTTTACCATAGGTTCATACATGGATGGTTTTATTACGTGGGCGGCGAGTGAATCGCCAGGGGCTGTTATCATAACGCAACAGGCATGTAGAATTCGCCTAGGTGAAGGTGATCGTCGCGATACTATTTCCGTACGCATACGTCGTTCATGTTTTTAACTAAAGAATGTCAAGTAGCGCCATCTAGAGAACGCCATCAAAATCGCATAGCTTGCGCCAGCTGCTTGAACTATTTTCATCCGACATGCAAATATTGTTTACAACAGATATAAAAAAATCATTGTTTCATGATCATCATTCATTATGATTGAAAATGGACCGACAAATCTTCCCACACAAATATAACATGTTCTCGTAGGTACACATTATTATCTACTCTTTATTAAACAGTACATTCATTTTAAAATATTTGAAGGTGTTAATAGGTCAATATATAGGTAAAATAAATGTATTATTATTTATTATTTAATATAGTAGTAGTAAAGCATTGAAACTCAAAGCAAAATATTATCAAATTTGATTAGTTGAACTAGCACCGCATCAAATCGTAAAGTTGACCTTGACCATATTCTATTATATATTTACTGAAATTGACCTCAGGTACGAAGCAAAAAAGACTAAGAAGATGGCGATGATTAACTCCTTGACCTGATAATCTACGCTAAAATAGCCGCGCATTGCTCTCAATACGTGTTAGCAACGCATTGCGCATTACTTTTAATAATAACATACATAGATTTTAGTTGGATTAAAGTAATTAACACTCAAAATGTATTTGTTATCTGACCTCAACTTCTTTTGGTTGCTTTTCTGGTTTGAGCTGCGCCGGGGGCGGTAGTCGCGGTGGTACAAAAGAACAAGATGGTTGAGGTTCCGTCGCAGTTGGTTGATTTGTTCTTGATGGTACAATTGGCGATGCCTGGAGGGGGGGTTTCGTGCTTCTTCTCATTTCAGTTGTATGATCTTCCGTATTCTGAACCAATATTTGTGGCGTCGTTGTTACATGACTAGCAGTTGGTTTTGCAGGTAACCACGATGGCGGTACGTCAGGAGGTTGTGGACGTTGTTGCAACAATGCTATTTTCTGTTCAGTTTTATTACAAACAACGGGAATTTCTGAGGATTGAATTTTAATTTTATTCTCTGTAGAATTAGAATTTTTTTCTAATGCATTTGTAATTTTCGGCGACTGCGATTTCTGTTTCGTATTTACACTTAAACTTATATCATGAGGTAAACTATCTGGCACTGGGGGTAGTTTAAGAGGTAACGGATCTTGAAGTGGAATGGATGGTAATTGACTCAACGGTACTTTTGCCAAAGAAGTGTTCAAAATCCCATCGGCATATTGTAATTTCATTTGATCTTTGACTGTCTCACAGCGTGCTTTATCAATTTCCAGAGAATCTACTAATGCAGGTGAAGTATCATCTCTGCTTTGGGAAAAATCAGTACTATCACAGCAAGATAACTCATCTAGGCTTTGTACTAAGTCTAAGGCTGAAGCCTCATGGTAATCGGTAGAACAAGGTGAAGTATCATCACTAGTATCATCGGCACCAATATGAGGTCGCTTCGGTGAACTTTTACTGCTTGGTACAAATGCCAAACTTGAAGTAATATCATTAGATATATCCGCGTTTAATGATTCATCACTTTGATTTGATAATTCTCTATTAGTAGAAAAGTCAATTGCACTAAGTTTCTCATCCTCACTCACTATATTACTCGCACCGACATCAGTCACTAATGGTAAGGATGCTTTCGGCTGGTCATTCTTTTCTTCGTTAACGATAGTAACATCTGTAACAGTTGTAGCTTTTTCTTCTGGTTGACAGCTGTCGTCAGTAAAGGTTTCAATTTTTGCTTGTTCTATCATCGGTAAATTCATATATTGAGGTATTGCATATTCTAAATCAGTCAAAGGTAGATAATGAATACCATCTTGGTCACCGATAGGAGTTTCAAAGTGTGGCGAAAAATAGTCAAAATTGGTTTGTTCAGATCCGTAAGTTGACCAAGGATCATTGGGAGGTATTATGGGTATTCCGTCATAGTAAAGTTCACTATTATAATCCCTATTCATAAGTAATTCTGGTTTATAGTCCCAAGCTGGCACAAATGAATCTTCAAAAGCTAAATAATTGTCAGGCAATAGTACGGTGTTATGATTTATATGCGACGGATCTAAAGCTAAGGAACCGTCATAAAATGGATTGTTAAGCACTAGTGGAGCGGGATTTAGGGGCCCACACTCCATTGTTACTTCAGCTTCTAGAAATAATCCATACTTAGATAAATCTGGTTCAGATCGGCCATGTCGAAATAATTTAGGTTCAATGTCGTTTTCATTTCGTTTATAGATGTCTGATATATCAAAACTGTGTGTCCTTCGCAAATAATAGTTGTTTGATGGAAATTCATTGTCATTACATTTTGTCTCGAGCACTTCTTTTATTTCACTGTTAAACACTGTTTCATAGGTAGGCACGCCGACGTTGTTTATTTCATGTAAAGCATCTGTGTCATTTGTTGGAGCGAGGGCAGTGTTAGATGTAATGTCGAGGGCAGTAACGTCACGAACAGCGTCATTTGGCAATAAAACTACATGTGGTAGAGTTGGTGGAGGGCCACAAAAGAGCAAGTTTTTAGGAGGTGGTCGTTGTGGCGGCTGGGCAGCCATGGCTTGCGCATTGGCCGCCCGTGGCCCTACGCGGCGGTCTCGTATTTCGATACAGCGGCGGAGACGCGCCGGGCGGCCGGCTGAGCTTTGCGACTGACTGAAGGCGGACCGAGTGACGATGGCGAACACAAATAGAACGGGCGCAAGCGCGAGGAGGTCGCCGTCTCTCGCGCACATCTTCACGGGCGAAGGCGCACGCGCACGCGCACTCGTAAGCCAAACCCGCCTAGTGTGTTATCCCAAACAAGCATGCTGACGTTTTACACATTATTCTGGTTCCGCACTCTACTAACATGATATGCAGCTATGATTTCAAATGAATAAAGGACAGGTTTTCGGGTGGACACTTTGTTGTTGTGATAGTGAGTGTTGGGTTTGATATTCATACTGTCCTTTCGCACTTCCGCTTAGTTAGAAATAATTAAGAAACAGTGTAACTCACCTGTTCGGGGGGTGAACGTGGAGATGAATCGTCACGGTGGTGTCTCCTCCGTCTGTGTGATGTAGGCGAACGCCGGTGATGTGATCTTTTGGAACGTTCATTTCTCCGCCTCCACGAATGCTCCGAGCTGTGAAATCATCGATCGGTAGGCTGTAGGGTTAGTGTATAGGAGCACAAGAGTTTTGTGCAAGAAACGTTTAAGGTGAGATTTGAGTGTTCGCTAAGAGTTATGCAAGTCTTAATATACTAACATTGGTGACCATTCTCTGCAACCGGATTGTGGATCTACAAGCTGAACAAGATAGTCTGTTGGCGGCAGGCAGCACGCGGTAAGAAGTGCCCGCAACGCTGCCCATCGCCTTTGTCCCGTTCTTACGTTTTTGAGTATGGTCTATTTCCATTAAAATCTTAAATATAATTTTACGTTATTTCTGTTGTGTTATTGAATATATTTAACTACATCTTATTTATTAAACATTGTAAAAGATACTATAGTACCTAACGAATTATTCTAGAAACACTAGTTTGTTCCTGCGCTTGAATATCAATTTATACTAATGCTTTATATTCACAATATAAATATTAGTGTCTGAAATTACTGTAGTCAAGGTTAAATAAATGATGTGTCATCATGATTAACAATCACTTCTAACATGACTAAATGGGCCGATAACATGTTTATAAACAAAATTCTACGAATAAAGGAGTAGAGCCGTAAAATGGGAAGAAGCTTATATTGCTGTCACTATTAGGCTGAGATGGCAACCTGTAATTGGTAGGGACCGGCGCGGGCTGCGGTCACGGAGGTACTGCCAGCGTCAATCCGCGTTCGCGCACGAGATACTTGTATAAAGTAAAGAGTACAATCAATGTACATTTCATAACGAGCGCCGTCATAGCCTAGCAACTAAACAATCAAAAACTCGATGTCACCTAGCACAATGTCATCTGTGAGAAATGATTACCGATTGTAATTTTAAATAAACATGTATAAAAAAAAAATACTGATTTCGTTTCCAATGGTAAAATAGATTTTAAAGGTTTTCGAAAGTAAATGTCTTTTACCGCTCCACTTACCAACAATCACGGAAACTTTGGGTATTGGCAAAGTTACTATCAATTCTTGATAAGCTTCTACATCTATCTTCCTTTACGAGAGGTATCATAGTAATCGTATTAAAAAGAATTTTTTGTTGTTATTTTTAGATTATGTAATGCATTGTTAGTTGCAACAAGAAATAACCGTCACTGACTGTAACATGGAATGCAGTCAAGTCTAATAAGATTATACACTCAATGTAATTGGTTTACTTGGTCATATTTAGATATAATGAAGCAAACGAGTTAACATATGACTACGATAAAAGCAAAACAGATGCAATTATTGAGCTTATGAAAAATGTAGCTGATATTCGGAACTAGAAGCTAGTGACATTTCATAATATATTTCGGGCAAATTAGTGCCATCTAGTGGCGAGTAGTAATAATAGATATAACAAACATTTTGTTAATTATATTAAAATGTTATTCGTCGTTATAAGGTGATTACAAATTGTTGTTTTAATAACAACTAAGCATGGTATAGGCGTAGCATGTACTTACCTAAAACGATTGTTGTAGAGTACATATCTAAGCTGTCATAATCATTAATTTTATGATATTGTACTCAGTGCAGAGAGAAAACAGAGACAGTTTGTATTAAAGATAATAGAGGGAATAATATGTTGATATAATTATTTTATTATTATTTAATAATAATTTATTATATTTTGATATTATTTATTACATTTAAAGTGTTTTGATTCATGTGGCGTACCTTGTTACTCAATACATAAACTGTTTTTTCTTATATTATTGCTCAAAGAATAACCTTTTTACCGAATTTATATGCATCAAATAATACATAAATAATAATTAAAAAAAGACTGTAATAACTGTTCTGTTATGCTATTTTCACAGTCTCACCAAGATTGTTTAGACAAAGTGACAAGTGTAGGAAAAATAAATATTTGGTTGTAAACATGTAACTTAATGTATACTGGAGATTGTTTTTAACCTCATATCGCTCTCTAGATCTATAAAAAACAAAATATTAATATTTGGCTTTGATGGTTACGTTAAAACAAATTTATGATGGCGGCAAATTAAGTTATCTAAACTGTTAAGCGGTCTAAGCCTAAAACGGTGTATGCTGTCTCAAATAAGCGTTGCTGGGGACGTGTGCGCGGGCGTCCATAATATATCACAACAATCCTAACTAATGTCACATTGTTTAGCGCCACAAGAGGTTGAACTTGAACACACAAGTCTCTAGGTTGCGAATCATGCATACATACGTACAATCCCACATGATCGTGGGTATAAGTAAGTCATTGCTGGCCAATGTATGTATCTCTATTTAAACATGACTTTTAAAAAAATATTTTATATCTTTATCCGTGAATTGTACGTAAACACTATCTACATCGGCTTATATAATAATTCACTAGGAAGTTAAATATTATGTAATAATATAAGGATTTGAATTTAGAGACGGTCATGTATCATAAACATAACATTAAGATTTTTATATACTTGCAATAAAATAGTAAACAAGTTAATAACGTTTATTAATGTACTTAATAGAAAGTCTGGAAGTTGTTTCTTCAACCGACATCAAGTAGGTTATGTGATGTCCTAGCCAATTCTGCGCGAATTTGATGATAATTTTTATAGCCTGTTTCAACATAACTTGATGTAAATAATGGAATAGTTAATTCTAACATAAGACCAGACTACCGCTTATGTTCCATAGAAGTACTCATCGAGGGGGGGGGGGGGGATTTTGTTAGTAATGCGAACTACCAGTCGAATTGCTAGCAATATAGCCTGTCAGGTCGAGCTGGAAACCATCGTGTTAAATTTCAGATGTATTCATCACGATGGGCTAACTGACCTGCCTTTTTAAGAGGGAGAAGGGATTGTTAGTAAAAGCGTCTAGTTTTCCCATTGCTAGCAATACACCCTGTCAGATTGACCTTCTCGCGATCCCCCCCAGGAAGCCATCATGTTTAATTGCAGATGAATTCATCACGATAGGTTAACTGACCTGCTTTTCATCCTCATTAATCATCCCTCACTGGTGAACTGAAGCTTATTTTGAAGCGAAAGATAATTTTTTTTTATAAACATGGTATTGAAGAAAAATTGGAAAAGCGTATATATATAAAAAAAAATTTTGAAAAAAAATGTTGTTTTCATTGTTAGTCTCGGGACTTATTGATCCATGTGTTATATCGTTAGTGCAGAAGGATTTACCATTTCATTATCACCCATTAAAACCTACCCATCGAAAATAGTTTCATTGAATGTTTGAACATTCAATTGTCATTTGAGAGGATTACTGTGATAATTTCAACAAAATTTGATTACCTTTTTATTAAGTTCTTTTAAAACAAACTATACGACCATTGAAAAATAATATAATATACCCTATATTTCCATGTGGGTTTTATATTAAATTTATAGCAACTGTAGCTTTTTCGTGGAATAAAATCTAAAATTATGGTTTACGATAAAATGAGTTACTGCTGTTACTTTACAAATAATAGTCAATTGACATTCTTTTTTCCTTTAAAAACCCAATAAAGTAGCACTATAACATACTAATAGTGCCTAGATACTGAGTTCAATTTAGCCATATATATTTTTAAATCATACCTTGTGATACGGGAAAACTGTGTTAATAGAAAGATTTATACAAACAATAGATTTGAGACCAATGTTTCTCATTAAAAGTTGCAGATGGCATTGCGTAAAAGCTGGCACACGATTATGAAGACCGCCATTGACAATACATCGCACGTCCGCGGTACACGACGAATAACAAACACCGGAACATTCACTTTCGTCCGGCGACATCACATTATCGGTCCCTAGTCTGTTACGTATTGCTCCTTCCCAAACCGGCTACCATAGAAAATTTCTAAAACTAGCGCGACTGGTACACACGTCATCGTCATGTCATCGATCTTTTATTTAGTCGTTAATTTTATTTGCAAAAGTTCGCCTTTCTTATTAGCATCCGCTGTATGGAAGTTGTGATTTGGTGAAATTCCTTATTTTGCTTTCGCTTCCTCTTAGCAGACACCGGCAGTCAAGGAGTATTTAATTATGGCGACCCAAGGTGGTTGTAGAAGGTGAAAGCGAACATAGAACGCATTCGAGACTCGTTTGTTTATGTTATCGCAGCGAACACTTTCGGTTTTGTGCAGAAGACAGTAAAACTCTTGTGATAACGACACATGTCAACATTGGATGTGCGTGAGAAAACAGCTCACAGGCCATGATGGGAAAAGTTACAAATATTATAGCTGGTCATTTACGAGGTTTAATAGATATTGTACTATATATTGTCTATAAAATATAACTCAAAATGTAATAATTTCGTATTAATAACTTCAATTCAAATAAGATTAATATTAATGAATATACGATATATAATTGCATTATTTACGCTCACACAAACGCAATTTTAATATAGATCATAGAGATGTATTAATAACCAATCAAAAAACAAGTACGAATAGAACTCCTTGTATTCGCTTTAAGTGTGTATGTAATTAGTACAACCACAGTAACTAGTGAAATGAAGTTTTCACACAACCTTTGAAGGAAATTGTGCAAATATGAACAGAAAACGTGATAAAGGAAAACATCAATTGTAATGCGGTCAACGTTCAAGTAACAACGAACGGTATTCAAATAACGGTACTTTATATTTAGAAACACCGAACACGTGTAATGGATTGAATCATCTTTTCACTGTTGTCTGATACCACACAACTTTTCATGATGATTTACACTGTGATTTTACTTTCGTTAACCTAAATTTTGACGTTTATAACTAACTAGACGATCGTGAGTGTATGACATTATGAAAAGTTGATTTGAATCACTCGGGTATTTATATATTTATTGTATTGAGTTGCACTGATAATATGAGTACCTATTGA